ATTGCCCGTCCATAGTTGTACTCCATCGTAGCTAATAGGGAAATTAATAGGGTGACCGACCTTGGCTACCTGCGTGTTCCAGTCGTCAAACTACTACCACCAAGGCTAACTAATGGATTACTACTCTACCGGATCCCCTCTGTGGCCCTTATTATGGCCGCCTTGACCAATTAGAGGTATTGACCGCATTCAAGGTCTCCTGACTTGTGTTTATAAACTGGCCTATTGGGCAACAACTCTTTAGTAAATTTTGGACCCCTGTCTCGTTAATTCGAATTTGTGTGTGAAGGCTGACGTGTCTGAGGCTTCTCAGTCCGAAGGTCTGTCAGCATATGCGTGCCCCTGACTTGGTATGTTCTTGGAGTTTTCCTCCGAAAGGGCTGAATTCGGATGTCTGATGCTCTAAAATGCGACATATACCTGCAGACTGGTGGAATCTTCGTTCTAGGGCGATTTCCGTGAGAAAAATGGCCTGTACTTAACAAATATCAAAATAAACAGTAATGAGCTGTAGTTCAGAGGACCGGTGGGCAGGTTCTTCGGCATCGGCCTCGTAAACGAAGACCGCCTTTATCTCGCTCAAGCTTGCTAAAAAGCGTATCCAGTCGGACTCGAGCCTGGGCGTTAGCAATACGAAACATCCATGGCTGACGCAGGTGACTTCTGACGGTGTTCTTACAGTGAAGAATCTGCTTAGTGGCGAGATTTTCGGATGCAGCTTTAGCGTTATGGGCTCGTGAAAAGCAGTGAGTCAACGAGGCCAGACTTGACGTCAGATCAGCGGGCGGGCAATGATGAGAGGCCCTCCAGCAGACTACCAGCAACACTGATTTCATGATGCTAAGGGTTTAATTCCGGCACACCGATTGCCCTGTGGATCACCGGGAGGTCCGGTGACTCACTGCTTTTAGCACTGCTACTTTCCGGTTAGGTTTCAACGAACAGAGACCCTAAACAAAACTGAAAAAAACTTGGCCGTTCGAAACTCACATGTCACCAGCAATATTAAGAAAAGTTAGGACGAATGCCTGAACATGTCAGGACTTTCGGAGGAACCGATGGTCTGAAAGTCCAGACCTCCGGTTGCGCATAGGGAGTTAGACTACTAGGTAA